CACACTGACTGCTGCTGCCTACCAGGTATCTAAGGAATGGTGATAAACATTCCAAGGTATGAAGTCAGATTCTGGTTTCCAAGCTGTGTGAGTTGGAAAAAACTTGTGTAAATAGTTACCTGCTCTGTCATTCAGTTTCCTCATCTGTGAATTAAAAATAGCACTACCTTCCCTGTGAGTTTGTTGTACTTACTAAATAACATGTTTTTTTAAAAAGTGCATAGCATGGTATCTGACATTTAGAAAAACCACTAAATTTTTATTGTTATTATCACCCTTAATGTGAATTCGTTCTAATTAGCCCTCTCCCACTCCAAGAAGCCTATTGGAAAGAAAATATGTCATCTCGTGAGTTCTGTGAGCTGTTACCCACAGGAATGACACTCAACTCTTCTTCACCACCCTCCTGAAAAGATGACCCATGTTAAGTTCTTCTTTGTTTCCCCTTTGCACACGCTGTCCGGCACACACCAAGGCACGGGGTAGCTCAGTGGTTGATTCACCCTCTAGACTCAGATGGACCTGGACTTGAATCTAGTCTTCCTCACTTAATTTTTTTGACCCTTAGTTTACCTGTTTCCACCTCACGGTTTTATTATAAGATTTCAGTAAAATAATGTATGCAAACCTTTTGGCATGTGCTACTAAAAGCAACAGGAAACAATTATATTCAACTTACCATGTGTCTGGTGCTGTTTTAAGCATTTTGCACATATTAACTTGTTAGATCTTCATGACAACCCTGGGATATTGAGCTATGACTATCTTAACTTTACATATGTAGAAACCAAGGCCTGGTGGTCATATCAATGATAAGTAACATGGCAGAATTAAAATCCAGACAACTTGCCTTGATTATGGGACCTTAATCACTGCGCTCTCCTACCTCCCAATCGTATGTGCTTATCAACTATTTGCTGTTACTACTATAATCCAACAATATTTGTTGAAATATTTATTTAACAAATCAACATTTACTGAAGTACTTATTTAGTATTTACTATATCTTTCTAAGTAGCAGAGCTTATCACAGCCCATAAAAATGCACTGTTTTGCTTATAACTTTTTGAAAAAACTTCTCAGATTCTGCCTACCCAGCCTATTAAGAAAATAAGATATAAATTAGGGAAGACAATTCAAAAAGGGTTCCAATATACTATAATATCTGTTATTTGTGTGATTCAATTTCTAAGAAATTTTAATTACAACAATGGTATACCATTTGCTGCAAATTACTGATTTCACCTAAAATATATATCATTACCTATGTTAAAACTTTTACTTAAAGAGGAAACAAAACTATAGGAGGTAGCTTCGAAGATAGTATGAATAGTCTTAATAATACTCTTCTGGGAATAAAGTTTGAAACAAAGATTAACCAAGTTCTTTGCCTAGTAAAAAAAAAATAATAATACTCTTAAAATCACAAATCAAAATGCATAACAGCTAGCTTCCACAGTTTGAGGTTTATGGTTATATTGCCTAAATTTCAATGTAAAATTTTAAATATAAAATTTTTTTCTTGGATAATTCACTGCTTAGAGTAGAGGCATACCTTTGCTCACACTTCACTTTATTACGTTTTGCAGATTTTGTGTTTTTTACACATTGAAGGTTTGTGGCAATCTTGTACTGAGCAAGTCTATCGGTACCATTTTTCCAACAGTGTACTCACTTCATGTCTCTGTGTCATATTTTGGTAATTCTTGCAATATTTCAAACTTTTCATTCTTATTATACCTGTCATGGTGATATCTGCTCAGTGATCTTTGACGTTTCTATTGTGAATTTCTGAAGCACCATGAGCTGTGCCCATATAAGATGGCAAACTTTATTAATAAATTTAAAAAAGTAAAAGTATTTACTTCACAGTGTTATTATCAGGTTTGAGTAAAATATTGCATCCAGAAGTTTTGGCATATGCTAATATGTGTGTTCCCATGCTCCACTGACCGGCTGTTCCCCCGTGTCCTTCCCTCTCCTCCGGCCTTCTTTTTCCTTGAGAGACAATAATAATGTGATTAGGGCAATGAATACTCTTACAATGGCTACTAAGCCTTCAAGTGAAAGGGCCACACATCTCTGACCTTACATAAAAAGCTAGAAAGGATTAAGCTTGATAAGGAAGGCATGTCCAAAGTCGAGACAAGGCGAAAGTCAGGCCCCTGATGCCAGGTGGCCAAATTGTGAATGTGAAAAAAAAGTTCTTGGAGGAAAGAAAAAAATGATACTCCAGTGAACACACGAATGATAAGAAAGTGCAACTGCCTTCTTGTTGCTATGGAGAAAGGTTTAGAGATCTAAATAGATCAAACCAGCCACAACATTCCCTTAAGCCAAAGCCGAATCCAGAGAAGGGCCTAACTGTCCTTTACTTATGACGATGGGTAAGAGAGGCAAGGAAACTACAGAAGAAAAGTTGAAGTCTAGCAGAGGCTGGTTCATGAGATTTAAGGAAAGAAGCCATCTTCAGGACACGAAAGTGCAAGGGGAAGCAGCAAGTGCTCACGTAGAAGCTACAGCAAGTTTTTCAGAAGATGTAGTGAAGGTCATGATGAAGGTAGCTACATTGAACAGATTTTCAATGTAGATGGGACAGCCCTCTATGGGAAGAATATGCCACCTGAGGACTTTCATAGCAGAGAGGAGTTGTTAATACCTGGCTTCAAAGTTTTAAACAACCAGCTGACTCGCTTGTTAGGGGCTCCAGAAGCTAGTGACTCTACATGGAAGCCAATGCTCACTTACCATTCTGACAACCAGAGGCACGACAGATTATTCCAAATTTACTCTGCCTGTGCTTTTTCTATGGAACAGCAAAAACTGGATGACTGTATATCTGTTTACAGCATGACTTACTGAATATTTTAAGTCTACTGTTGAGACCTAATGCTCAGGAAAAAAGATTTCTTTCAAAACATCACTACTCATTGATAAGGCACCTGGTGACCCAAGAGCTCTGACGGGGATATACGAGACTAATGTTGTTTTGATGCCTACGAAACACAGCATCCATTCTGAAGACTATGTGACTAGGAGTAATTTCGACTTCCAAGTCTTATTGTTTAAAAAATATATTTCACAAGGCTATAGCTCTCATAGAGAGTGATTCTTCTGTTGGATCACGGCAGAGTACTTTGAAAATCTTCTGGAGAGGTTTCATCATTCTAGATGCCATTAAAACCATTCATAATTCCTCATGAGAGGAAGTCAAGATGTCAGCATTAACAGGAGTTTGGAAAAAGTTGATTCCAACCCTCTTGAATGACTTTGTGGGTTTCAAGGCTTCAGTAGAAGTAACTGCAGATGCGGTAGAAATAGGAGAATCAAAATTAGACTTTCATAGTAGAGAGGAGACTAAAGATGTGACAAAATTTCTGCAACCTCATGAGTGGATGAGGAGTTGTTTCTCATGCGTGAGCAAAGAAAGTGGTTTCTTGAGACAGAATCTACTCCTGGTGGACATACTGTGAACACCATTGAAATAACAACAACGAATGTAGAATACTACATAACCTTAGTTGATAAAGTAGCAGCAGAGTATGAAAGGATGGACTCCGGTTTTGAAAGGAGTCATATTGAGGATAAAAAGCCATCAAAGAGCATCAGATGCTACAGATAAATCGTTCATGAAAGGACACGTCCACTGATGCCGCAAACTTCATCATTGTCTTATTTTAAGAAATCACCACTGCCGCCTCATCCTTAGCAACCACCACCTGGATCAATTAGTCAGCAGCCATCAACATCGAGGCAGGACCCTCCACCAGTAAAACAATTAGGACTTACTGAAGGCTCCGATGATCATTAGCATTTTTTAGCAATAAAGTATTTTTAATCAAGGTATGTGCATTTCTTAAAATATCATGCTATTATACTCTTAACAGACCACAGTATAGTATAAACGTACATTTTGAAGACACTGGAAAAATTTTAAAATTATTTGGCTTTATTTCAATATTCACATTATTGCAGTGATCTAGAATCTAAGAAAATAGTATCTCCGAGTTATGCCTGGATAAGACACTGGATCTGTTGCTATTTGGAGGGTTATTTAATTCTTTTGTAGCAACTATTATACTTCATTTACAAAGCAAGAATTAGTTTTCCATGAAATAGCAATTAAAAGGATAACTGTGTGCTTTTTTTCCTAATCTTCTGTTTCGTTTTCTGTTCTTATCCTTGTTGATTTTTCTTTCATCTATGCCTAATTTACATTGTCTTGCTGTGATTTGAATTTTCATATAAACTGCCCTGGTACTTCCTGAAACAAGACAAAATTATGTAAATGCCTCTGAGTCAAGTACAGTGTATGGTTTATGTGACATTTTCATTTAACGAAATTTGCCAATAGTATTAATCTGATATCTATTACTTTGCGTTATTCACACACTTCTGAGAATCTTCCTGAGTGGATGTCTGAATATAAAAAGTTGTAATTGTAGTAAGCTGAATGGTGACCTCCAAAGATATTAGGTCCTAATTCCTGGAACCTGTAAATGTCACCTTACATGGAAAAAATGGCCTTTGCAGATGTGATTAAACTAAAGGTCTCGAGTCAGAGAGATTAACCTGGTTTATCTAGGTGGGCCTTAAATGAAACCACACAAGTGTCCTCATAAGAGGGAGGTAGAAGGAGATTTGACACAGACAGAGGAGAAAGTAGTGTAACCCTGGAGGCAGAAATTGATCGACAGCCACCAGAAACAGATTCTTAGAGCCACAAGAAATCAACACAATTACTAATTTGAATCTGCACAGACGTTAAACAGAAAGAAAGTTTGCCTTTTAACATTCAAAACATTAGGAAAGGCAAAAACAACAAAGTTATTTCCATCTAGAAGAGTGGAAAATAGAAAGGTAGTCTCAAAGACCAGAAAGGTCTTTTGATTTTAAAGGGCTACTCTCTGTTTCAGGAAAATGCTACATTTCTAACCCAGCTCCCTCTGTAACGTAACCACCACATTAAAACCAAACTCCCTAGTCCCCGTGGAAAGCACCTGGCAATGCCGTCCTCCTGGGAACCCACGCCACACTGGTCTCCAGCCCTCCTCCTGACGCGCACCACTCACGATCCCACTTGGCGTGTTTCATCCTGCCCACTCCCTGGAACGTCTTCTTGCTTTGCTGGATGTAACCTATTCTTTCACAAAGTCAAAGAACGTATTTGCAGAATTTCACTTCCGGGAAAATTCCGGGACCAGTGGCTGCACTGACAGAACCCCACGTGCAAAGGACGCTCACAGCCCCTGGGTGGCCTCCAGGGCAGCGCAAGCGGACCCTCATAATGACCTCACTCATCTGCGCTAGTCTCTAGACTGAGAGGCAGAAAGATAAGCCTTCTCCACTCTGGACAATTCTAAAACACACTGTGCTGAAGGCAGACTCCCACACGTTGAAAATCACAGGCCTGTCTTCGAATCCAAGGGGTACCCATTCATTTAGCCTGAAAAACGTACCAAGTGGGAAAAAAAGATTCCTTTTTAACATAAACAGCCTGTGATGCTTTATTCGTAAGGAACTTAATATGTCTGCTGCTTAAAAAACAAAGTCTGAAAAACTCAGACCACTGGGAAAGTGAGGGTTCGAGGGAAGCACGATCCATTTGGTTGCACAAGTAAGAAGTTGGGTCATCACTGACACTGACCTCCTGCATATGCGATCCCAAATATTTTGATTTTGCTTCGAAGTATTTCTTAAACCTGTTCACTTTTCTCATATTAAATTGCCTTTTTATGGGACCTTCCTACTCACTGAGTTTCCATCCAGTTGTGAGAGGGAGGGAAAGTGCACCCAAGGGTGGCTGGAGGGGTGGATATGGAGGCAGGTTTCCCCTTCCTCAAAAAGTCCTGGGCTTTGAGTGGGAACGAGCCACTGGCAGCACCCATGTTGCTGCTCCTGCCCTATCTGGCTGTAAACAAGGAATGCACCTCCTGCGTTCTTCCCTCTGTAGAACAGCTTGAGAACCTACCTTATGGGACTGCTGTGCACACGAAAAACACACAGAGACAGGGACACGATAAACAATCTGCACTCGGATGATTTGCCCCAGGGTTCCAGTCCTAGCACCAGGGGCCCTCTCTTTCCTAGTGCTCACATGGTGGCGATTTTACATTTTATCTGTCAAAATCTAACCAATTGCTGTCTGTCTCTCATACTGTAACTTTCGTGAAGCAGAAATCAAGTCTATTTTTGCTCTTCCTTGCACAGAGCTTGGCAGAAGAAAGCACTGAAATATTTGTTAAGGAAATCTTGTAAATAACGCAAGCCAATAAAGGGAACCAGGGACACTAGTGGTTCCCAATCTGGACGTCACCTGTCTGCTCGGTTCTTCTCCAGCCTCAATGCCTAACAAGGGCATCGCCTGAGCAGCTTTCAAACAGACCCCTGCCCAGGCCCCAGGGATTCCAATTCGATTGGGATGGGGTCGCCAGAGCCAGGAATAAAGACCCTCCAAAGGATTCTCATGTGCAAGTCTGGTTGAGAAGTTCCTCTAAGGCTCCCCCCTGCTTCAGGCCAGGTGTGAAGGCCTCCAATCTGACCTCGGCGTCTGAATTCCACCAACT